AAATCTACAAGATACTGCAAAACCTCAACAACAAAAAGACAAATAACCCAATTAAAAAATGGGCAAAGGATATGAACAGGCACTTCACCAAAGAAGACATTCAGGCGGCTAACAGATGCATGAGGAAATGCTCATGATCATTACCCATTAGAGAAATGCAAATCAAAACTACGATGAGATACCATCTCACCCCAACAAGGCTAGCATTAGTCCAAAAAACACAAAATAATAAATGTTGGAGAGGTTGTAGAGAGACTGGAACACTTATAAACTGCTAGTGGGAATGCAAAATGATACAACCATTTTGGAAAATGATATGATGCTTCCTTAAAAAGCTAGAAATAGAAGTACCATACAATCCAGCAATCCCATTCCTTGGAATATATCCTAGAGAAATAAGAGCCATTACACGAATAGATATATGCACACCCATGTTCATTGCAGCACTGTTTACAACAGCAAAAAATGGAAACAACCTAGGTGCCCATCAATGGACGAATGGATAAACAAATTATGGTATATCCACACAACGGAATACTACCCAACAATAAAGAATAATGATGATTCCATGAAACATCTCATAACACGGATGAATCTGGAAGGCATTATGCTGAGTGAAATTAGTCAGTCGAAAAAGGACAAATATTGTATAAGACCACTCTTATAAGAACTCAAGAAAAGGTTTAAACACAGAAGAAAACATTCTTTGATGGTTACGAGGGTGGGAAGGGAGGGAGAGGGTTATTCACTAACTAGATAGTAAACAAGAATTATCTTAGGTGATGGGAAAGACAACACACACTACTGGGGAAGTCAGCACAACTGGACTAAACCAAAGCTTAGAAGTTTCCTGAATACAATCAAACACTTCGAGGGACAGAGTAGCAGGGCTGGGGGTCTGGGGACCATGGTTTCAGGGGACATCTAGGTCAACTGGCATGACAAAGCTTATTAAGAAAATGTTCTGCATCCCACTTTGGTGAGTGGCATCTGGGGTCTTAAAAGCTAGAGAGTGGCCATCTAAGATGCATCAATTGGTCCCAAACCACCTGAAGCAAAAGAGAATGAAGAACACCAAAGACACAAGGAAAATAATAGCCCAAGAGCCAAAAGGACCACATAAACCAGAGACTCCATCAGCCTGAGACCAGAAGAACTAGATGGTGCCTTGCTACCACCAATGACCACCCTGACAGGGAACACAACAGAGAGTCCCTTATGGAGCAGGAGAAAAGTGGGCTGCAGAATTCAAATTCGAGTAAAAATACAAGACTTAATAGTCTGACTGAGACATAGCCCCCAGACTCTCTGTTAGCCCAAAACTGAAAAAATTCCTGAGGCCAACTTTTCAGACAAAGATTTGACTAGACTATAAGACATAAAATGATAATCATGAAGAGTGTGCTTCTTAACTCAAGTAGATACATGAGTCTTAATGGGCAGCTCCTGTCTGGAGGTGAGATGAGAAGGGAGAAAGGGTCAAGAGCTAGTTGAATGGACATGGGAAATCTGGGGTGGAAAGGAGCAGTGTGCTGTCACAGTATGGGGAGCGGAATTAGGGTCACATAGCAGTGTGTGTATAAAGTTTTGTATGAGAAAGTAACTTGAACTGCAAACTTTCATTTAAAGCACAGTAAAAAAATTAAAAAAGAATGCTGAGGAGCCATAATTTTCATCTTAGCCAGAGAGTACCTATCAAAACTAAAGCTAGTCCTAAACCCTTTGGAGACTAAACTACCTGGAGAACTTGACATTCATTCTGAGACAATCAGGAGTGATTTGAGTCAGAGTTTGATGACCCCACAAGAGACTGCTTTAGGGATTTACTAACATTTCAAAGCCATTGTTTGGAAATTCCTAATGAGTAATTCACTGGTTTTGTTGTAAGTATGTTAGGACTAAAATAGTATTTTACACTGTGTATATAAAACTTGATTTTATCAGATTTATTTTTTTAAAACAGAATTAAAAAAAACTACTTGATTTAAAAAATACCTTGTTATGAAATGACTATTTTGAATTTTTTCCATTTTTAATTGATTTCATGAATGAGGTTTAGACAAAGTCTCAAGTACCCCCTATAACTCAAGGTTTTGGCAATACTTTAACACAATGTGGATTCTCTTGAGTTTCCATTATTTAATTCTGTTTGGGATTTCTTTCTTTCTTTTACCAGGTTCTCCAAAGTACTTAACTCAAGTTGGACAAACCGGTTCTATAGACTACTTCCCCAATGCATTTCCCAATGATAATAACTGCCCTTACATTTCTTTCAGACCTGGAAATCTGCTTGAAAGCAATAGGTAAATATTTCTTTAAACTATTGTAGATTATGTAAGAAACTCTCCTAAAATTAAAAATACCTAGAAAAACAAAAGGAAACAAGTTGTCTTTGGATGATGGCTAACTTCTTTTGCTTCCCTTTTTCCTTACTGTCCTATTTTTAATAATGAATGTATATTGCTCTAACAATAAAGAAGCTTTACTTTTGAAACAGCAGTTGTAGACACAATAATGTCTATGTATGTGAAATGAAATCTCAGGTAAATGTGCAAGTGACAGGATGCTAAGCAGGGACACAAACACATCTATTGATTGCAGGAACAGTTTGCACCTGATAGCCCAGCCCACCTGGCTCATCATGTGCCAGCTTCTTTGCAGATCACAAATACAACTCCAAACCATAGTGACAGGGGTTTGGTACCAGGTTATCTCTAACCCCTTGTGGGGAGGTCAACACCTTCTGCAAACAGCTCAGCCAAATAATTATGGTTTTCACCTGTGAAATCAGTTTTGTTAATCTAGGCTATTTGGTTGTAGTAATACATGTACTATTCAGTGCGTAAAACAGAATAAAAAATTTCTGTATATACGTATGGGCAATGAAACTTGTGAATTGTTCAGGCTTGATTTTTAATAGTATTGACAGAGCTTATATTAGGGAAATCAGAGGCATTCTGCTCCAAAATATTCTGTAAGAGGTACAGATTCTTATTATGAATCTAGGAAGATTCTATAAAGTGTAGAACCTTGGCAGGAATTTCTGTCCCAGTGATGTTCTCAAAAAGCTAATGTAAATTATTAAAACAAACTTTAAAAAACAATCTTTAATAAGTTTATAATACATATATACACTCACACAAATATATACATTTTTGAAGGCACACTTTTGACAATCTTATTCATTTCTTCATCCATCCATTCACTCATTTGTTCACTTAACAAATGATTTTTTAGTGTCTTCTACGTGAAAGGTACTCTTAGGTGATTGAGTACATCACAAAACAAACGTGAAAATCCCAGAGTTCTTGGATCTTACATTTATATGACTAGAGAGATAAAAAACAAATAAAACATACAGTATGTCAGATGGTGATGAGTGCTATGGAGAAAAATAAATCCAGGAAAGGAGGTAGGGCATGCCAAGTGGGAGATGGGAGTGGGGTTGTTATTTTAAGTACGGTGGTCAGGAAAGACCTCCTAGGTAAGGTGACTTTGTTAAGAGATGTAAAAGAGCTCAGGCGATTTTAATACTGTATTTCCCTTTCACAAATCATTTAGCAGTCAAAGTAAGAGAGCACTGGTCTAGTGTTTTTGTTATTTTTTATTACACAAGGTGAAATAACACTTTGTTTATGCTCTAAGAGTGGTACCTTCTGTACGAGAACATGGCTCCTATACAGAAATAATAAAGACAGAATATGAAGAAATTCTAAAATATTGTAAGCATCATAAAAAATTTCAGCAGCAAAATGGAATGGTATTTAATAGTGGTCTCAAAGCACCATATATACTAAAGGACAGTTTAACAGGCTTTTTGTCATCATGGTGGTCGTCTTGGTCACTTTGATACTTCTCTTGTACAAAGATAAAATAAGGTAGGAAAATGATGTTTTAATGGAGCCTGAGCTCCAGTCTGATAACTTTCTTTTCCCTTGTTCCTTTACAGTTTTCTTGAAGTACAATTAAGAACAGAGAGTACTTAACATCACCAGCTTGCATAATTATAGAGATGGTCTATCTGATGCTGAAAATGTCCCTAGTTTTTTGACAACGGCTAAACAACCATGGGGTCAAGCGGACTTGGGAAAGCAGCAACATTAGATGAACTGCTGAGCACTTGCATTGAGATGTTTGGTATGAACCTTTTCTCCTTTCATCTTTTGTGCATAATTTGTTACTACCACTTCCCTCTATTCAGATGCACGTGTTGCTTGTGGAACAGAGTTCAATCTCTATTTCTTGGTATTTAAGACCTTTTTAATTGACAAAAACCTGTCTCTCCAGTATCATTGCCCTCTGCATTTCTTCCCCTTTAATGCTCACAGCTCATGCCTCAGCCAAATTGTTCACTTAATGTTTCTTAAGTATTCCTGGCACCTTTTTACCTCCATGCTTTTACCATACTCCTTTTATTGAAACTCAGCTTCAGGGTTTATCTCAGATGTCACTTTCTTCATAATATTACTCCTAATCTCCCTGTCAGGAATGCTGGTTGCCTCCACCATGCTTCCACAGCCTTTGCACTCTCTTGTGGCACATGCTACATGCTGTTGTGGGTAGCACAATCTGCTGCATTCACTATTTGCGCACATAATCTTTTATCTCCTGCTAGGGTTTAGATGCTACAATTGTATCCTTTTTATGATGCTGTTTCTGGATCCACCTCAGCACTTAAGATAATTCCTTGCACAAATAGGCATACAGGAATTGTTTGTTCAATTGATTGCTATAAGAATCAGAGTTAAACCAGAGTGGGGTTGCCAAATAAAACATAGGATGATCAGTTAATTTTGAATTTCAGATAAACAATGAATAAATTTCAATTTAAGTCTATAAATAGTGCATGGGACATACTTATATTAAAAAATTATCTGTTGTTTATCTGAAATTAACATTTAACTGGGCATCCTGTATGCTTATTTGCTAAATACGGCAACCTTAAACCAGAAGAATGACAGACTTACCTTAACTTGCAAGAAAATATCAGCAGAAGGTAGAAGGAGGGAAAAGATAATTGGGTCAATGAAAAATCTTTGATGCTATTGTTTTTCTACTCGTATTAGAAAAAGAGAAGAGTAGCACTATTGTTTCCTCATTCTTTGTTTTATTTTTTTGACAGATGACAATGGAGAGCTGAATAATAGTTATTTGCCAAGAATAGTTCTACTGATGCACCGATGGTATTTATCATCCACTGAATTGGCAGAAAAACTTCTTTGCATATATCTTTTCAACTATTGTGCAATTTTTACAATCATAAATAAAATTTTTATTTAGATTGAGTCTCTATCCAAAGCCAGTAGATTAAGATGAATAAACAATCTTCAGTTAGTTATCCAGCTGTTTTGTGCACAGAGATGTCTAGACAAAACATCTGGATGATGGAGCTAAAGTTCATTATTCATCTGGGTGTTTTGGCTCCACTTTAAAATACCACTAATATGTAGAATTAAACAGTGGCTATAGGCTGAATGTTTCTAACTTGTCTTCAATATTTCTGCTGTAAATGACAGTAAAATCTGTGAAAGCTGGAACCTGTCAAAGAAGGAAAACTCACTGATAGAGAGAGATGGAAGTGATAAGACTGCACTTTGTCAAAGGTGGAAAACTTATGAGACCTGGAAAAACAAGGCAGCCTGAGTCTCACAGTTTTCACTGTAAATGAAAGAATATTTAAAGCTGATTCAAGACCAGATTTATTCCATCTAAGATGGCAAAATGGTAGGGACAGAAGATACAGCAAGATATATGGGAGTGCCAGCCAAAATGGTATGTTTTGGATCAGGCACAAATACCACCTAAGTTTTCCTATCTTCCCTTGATGGCAAGAAACAAAGAACATTCTGGTAGGTTTACTGTAATTTGTTGATTGGTAATAATTTTAGATTTCCTCTGACATAAAAACAAAAAACATAGTTAGAAACTAAATTCTATAAGGGCTTCTAAAAGTCCACCCTGATATAGTGCCTGAAAATGAGCTCCTCAGGTTGGTAGATGCTCAAAATACAACTGGGGATGAGCTGCCTCCTCAAAGTAGAGTCAACCTTAATTACATAGATGGAGTCAAGCTTTTGGGACCTTCAAAAGGTGGCACAACTCAAAATGAAAAGAAACAGTTGTAAACATCCATTAATAATTGGAACATGGAATAAATGAAGTATGAATCTAGGAAAATTGAAAGTTGTCAAAAATGAAATGGAATGCATAAAAATTGATATCCTAGGGATTAGTGAGCTGAAATGGGCTGCTATTGGTCATTTTGAATCAGACAATCATATGGTCTACCATACCAGGAATGACAAATTGAAGAGAGACGGCATCACGTTCATTGTCAAAAAGAACATTTCAAGATCTATCCTGAAGTACAACACTGTTAGTGGTAGGATAATATCCATACACCTACAAGGAAGGCCAGTTAATACGACTATGATCCAAATTTATGCACCAACCACTAAGGCCAAAGATGAAGAAATTAAAGATTTTTACCAACTTCTGCAGTCTGAAATTGATCAAACATGCAGTCAAGATGCATTGATAATTATTGGTGTTTGGAATGTGAAAGCTGGAAACAAAGAAGAAGGAGCAGTAGTTGGGAAATATGACCTTGGTGATAGAAAGGACACTAGAGATTGCATGATAGAATATCTTTTTTCAGCAGCATAAACTGATGTCAGATGGATCATGGCTGGAAGCAAAGAATACCAGAAAGATGTTTACGTGTGTTTTATTGATTATGCAAAGGCATTTGACTGTGTGAATCATAACAAATTAGGGACAACATTGCGAAGAATGGGAATCCCAGAACACTTAATTGTGCTCATGCGGAACCTGTACATAGACCAAGAGGCAGTCGTTCTAACAGAAACTGTGTGGTTTAAAGTTAGGAAAGGTGTGCATCAGGTTGTATTCTTTCACCATACTTATTCAATCTGTATGCTGAACAAAAAATCCAAGGACCTGGACTATATGAAGAAGAACGTGACATCAGTTTTGGAGGAAGACTCATTAACAACCTACGATATGCAGATGACAAAACCTTGCTTGCTGAGAGTGAAGAGGACTTGAAGCACTTACTGATAAAGATCAAAGACCACAGCCTTCAGTATGGATTGCACCTCAACATAAAGAAGACAAAAATCTTTACAACTGGACCAATAAACAACATCATGATAAATGGAGAAAATATTGAAGTTGTCAAGGACTTCATTTTACTTGGATCCACAATCAATGCATATGGAAGCAGCAGTCAAGAAATCAAACAACGTATTGCATTGGGCAAATCTGCTGCAAAAGACCTCTTTAAAGTGTTAAAAAGCAAAGATGTCATTTTGAGGACTCAGGTGCACCTGACCCAAGCCATGGTATTTTCAGTCACCTCATATGCATGTGAAAGCTGGACAATGAATAAGGAAGACTGAAGAAGAATTGATGCCTTTGAATTATGGTGTTGACAAAGAATATTGAATATACCATGGACTACCAGAAGAAGTAACAAATCTGTCTTGGAAGAAGTACAGCCAGAATGCTCCTTAGAAGGGAGGATGTCGAGACTTCATCTCATGTACTTTGGACATATTACAAGGAGGGACCAGTCCTTGGAGAAGGTCATAGTCCTTGGTAAAGTAGAGTGTCAGCAAAAAAGAGGAAGACCCTTAATGAGATGGGTTGACACAGTAGCTGCAACAGTGGGCTTAAGCATAACAACAATTGTGAGAATGGCACAGGACTGGGCAGTGTTTCGTTCTGTTGTACATAGGGTCACGATGAGTTGGAACTGACTTGTTGGCACCTAACAACAACAAGTCCACCACTTTTATACATAATGCAGTCTTGAGAGGTATTTGAAATCCAAATGATTGAAAATAGAAAAATAGTCTCACATTTATAAGGAGCTCCCCACTCCCCTGCACAAGGTCTAAGGTATGTTATATAATCTCTAATGTTGGTTCCTTTGGTCTCCACCTTCTCTAAGCTCAGGGCACACTGTAGGTGAGTGAGAAGCCCTACAGGGCACAGGGAGCCTACCAATGGGAGGGTTTGTCAGGGGTTACCAGTGCCTGCTATGGCTCCCTGGGCCAAGTGGGCCTCCACTGCTTGCTTGAAGCTTCCTTCACTTTGAACTTCTCTCAGGCCCCCTACAACCTCACAATAGCAGAGCATGTAAGAGAGGGTAAGGTGACTTTCATCTTAGAGTGAGAAAGAGCCTGGGCTCCGTGGGGCCCACTGTTGGAAGGCAGGGTGTAGGGAAGGATGGACTGGTTTGACTCAGTTAGGTACCCCTCCCCAGAGGCCAAATATTGTCCAAAGAATACCCCCACAAACATTTTCTCATTCTTAGTATGTAGCAAACACAAGCAAAAAGGGATATTTGGACACACAGAATCTAATATGTGAAAGTACAGATTGTATGAAACTTGAAAACTACCTGTGAATCAACATTTCTTTATGTCTTAGTTTCCTAGGACTGCCAAAAAATACCACAAAATGAAGTAAAACAAAACAAACAAAGAAACAAAAAACAAAAATTTATCATCTCACAGTTCTGGAGACGAGAATTCCAAATTCAGGGCATGGGCAGGACCATGCCCAGTCGCTGTCTCTGTTCACTCTAGGGGAAGATCCTTTTTTGTCTCTTCCAACTTCTGGTAGTTCTAAGCATTCCTTGGTGTTCCTTGGCTTATAGATGAATCTTTACACGGTGTCTTCCCCCTGTGTGTGACCCTATTTCAGTGTCTGTCCTCCTCTTTTATAAGACATCAATTATATAGGATGAGGAATTACCCTACTCTGGTATGACCTGGCTAACTTGACTGATAACATCTACAAAGAAAGAGCCTATTTCCTCAAACAAGGTCACATTGACAGGTACAGGGGTTAGGATTTCAATGTATCTTTGGGCACACAATTAAATCCACAACACTTTGGATTCCTTGTTTACTGCCTGGCATAGGGTAGAAGCTCAATAAATATTTGTTTAAAGGAGTATGAATGAATAGATGAGAACAAACTACAACACAATCTGCATATTAATATACCTGAAAATGACATTTTCAGACACTAAAGAAATTAGTATACTTATAAAAGACATTAATCTTAAATACAGAATCTTTTTCCATTTTATAATCTTAGGTTTTTGGCTAAAATGGTGCTTGTGTGTGCCATCAATTTTAATTATCTATAGTTAGCAGTACGTATGTTTTTAATTACAGTTGACATTCATGGTTGGTAAGTTCTCAGGAAGATTAAACTAATTTTATAAGCATCCTCTCTTCCAGAAAAAAAGTACATCCCAAAGCAATAATAACTTAAATTTTGCTAATTCAGCTTTGAAATTATCAGAGTCCATTCCTCTCCCTATTTGAGTGTCCACATAACCCAGTATGGCCCTCTTATTAGGAATTCAATTAAATTGGCAAAGCAGCTGCAGGTGGGTGCAAAGGAAACAAAGGTCAAGAATATTTTCTTTAACCAGAGCACGTATCAAAATGCCAGTGGAGAAAGCTGCAATGAATTTCGATTAAAGATCTGCTACTTCATGAGGTAAATATACTTAAAATTTTAATCGCTTTGTGGTTTCTGTTTCTGGGATTGTTGACAGCTCCCTTCTTCTCAAGCAGCAGACCTAGTTGCAGACCTAGTTTGAAAACGGGAGCGACTCAGATCCCCCTTCTATTGACTTTTTTGAAATAGACCCTCTTCTGTTCTAGGGGGTAAAATTTATCTTTCTTGTGGGCTGGAGGTCAAGCAGGGTAAACTTGATTAGGAAGTTAAATCGGCTCACAGAAAGGGTGAATTCATTTTCTTCTACTCCCTCACCATCCACACTCCTACTTTCTTGCCCTGAATTGGGGGAAGGGCTTCCTCTCATTTGTGGTTCTAGAGAGAGACAGAAAGAGAGGCTCAGGGTGGAAGTGGTGGACTTTATTCCTTGATTCAATGAGGGAAGAGAGGGACTCAATGTGCTAATTTGGGGTATGGTGTTGGATTCTGCGAAACAGTACAATAATTTCCATACAGGTCCAACATGACACCTTCCAGCTTTCAAAAAATATTTGTTGCATTTCAGGTACTGGATTCTGAAGTTTCCTGCAGAGTTTAATTTGGATCTTGGTTTGATTCGTATAACTGAGGAATTCCGGGAAGTAGCTAGTCAATTAGGATATGAAAAACACATCAGCCTCATCGACATATCCAGCATGTAAGAGTGGCACAAGCTTTCTTTCAAACAAGATGAGTTCACTTCTTTTGGGAGGGCGCCCTGGTGGCGCAGTGGTTAAGTATTCAGCTACTAACCAAAAGACTGACAGTTTGAATCCACCAGCCACTGCTTGGAAACCCTATGGGGCAGCTCTACTCTGTCTTATAGGGTCCCTATGAGTCGGAATCGACTCGACGGCAACGGGTTTGGTTTTTTGGTTTACTGATGATCTCACTTGGTCTTCATCCATATCATTTCACAATTTAGGTTTGTTCCTTTGAGGAAAGTCTTGCAGATTTTGGCACAGCCACATTGGACACAACTCATCTCTCCAAGCTTCAGTTTCTTATCTATAAAATGGGGATAATACCTTTCTCATGGGGTTGTTGTGAGCATTCAATAAGTTCACAAGATAGCATGTGAAAGCATTTGGCACACAATAGACGCTAACTACTTAGTTACTGAATCTGAATCTAGTTAATGTCTTCTATGCCATTGCTTCTCAGTGTGATCTGGAGATGAGCCACGTTGGCATCACCTGGGAGCTTATTATAAATGCGGGATGTTGGGCCCCAACCCAGATCTGCTGAGTTGAAATCTGTATTTTAGTAAGATTCCTGAGAAGCTCTGTACCACAGTGCTTCTGAGGTTGGCCTGAGACTGTACAAATGTTGACCATAGTTGTGCCAGGGGCTGGTTAGCTCAGTTATTAGGAACTTGGTGCTAATTAGACTAATGTGTCATATCAACTAGCTAACTTTGCACAGAGAAAAACTATCTTATGACCCCTAAGTCTGATTATGCATCTTGCTAACTAATGTAGGCTCTTGTGTCCCAGGCATGCATAGTCTGTTATATTTTCCTAGAATAGTTCTTCAAGAGTGATCAACAGTGAGTCAGGAATCATCGAAGATGTTTGTTAAAAATACAGATTATTCAGATTCAGTACTAATAAATCAGAATCTCTGGTGGTGGGATGCAGGCCTCTGTCTTTAGAATAAGCTTTCCAGATAATTCATAGGACAGTGAAGTGTGAGAACCACAGCATCTAGTGGTTTCCACATTCCTTAACTCACCATCTAAATGCTGATAAACACTGACATTCGTACGCCTAGCCTGGACCTCTCCTTTAAGATCCAGACCTTGCTGGTCACTAGGAGGACCAAGTCAGTTATTCTGGATGGATCAATGTAAACCCATTCTGTCTGGAAAAACAACTCAGAGTTTATGTTCTATAGGCAATGGGGCAGTGGTTTTCTCTTCAGATATAAAGGGCAGGGCATGCATTTTGCACAGGCACCTGGAAATAAGCCAAGAGTTTCAGAATCAGTTGGTTAATAACTTCCATTGAGTGAAATGGGCTTTCTGTACACTGACCAGACTCACTCTTCTTTTATAGTCCTTCCTATGACTGGATGAGAAGAGTCACACAGAGGAAAAAAGTATCCAAGAAGGGAAAAGCCTGTCTGCTGTTTGACCATCTGGAGCCCATTGAATTGGCTGAGCACCTCACTTTTCTGGAGCATAAATCTTTTAGAAGGATCTCAGTAAGAAACTTGACATTTATTCTTCCAAAGATAACAACCACCATGCCAACTTTCCCAACAGCTGCATTTTTATACTCTGAAGTGTTGGCAGACTCTGTCACTGTGCTCCACTGGAAAAGTACCCTTAATTCATAGGAACAATTCCTTCTAACCAAGGATAAATATTATCCTGTCTTTATTTTATGACTCAAGAGCTAAATTTCTGTCGCTATTTTCAATGTCTCCTTTCATATGATTAAAGCATGACTTTCAAAATACTTAGTGGAGATTTAACCATTCAAGTTTTATTTCACTCCTTCATCCAAGTAAATGTGTTTTGCTATGCCTTTTCATTCTGGGGAAGAATTATTTAGGCTAGGGTTTGGATAAATGTCTAATTATGGGTGTAGTTTGAAAATAGAAATCGTGGACTTTGAAGAGAATCTCAACATCGGGTTGTTTTTTTCCCAAAGATTGAGATCCTGAATCAAATTTTTCATTCCTGCTCATTGTGAGAGCTTCCTTCCTCTGCAATATTTCTTTTCTTCCTACGGACTCTTACCTCTTCCTACTCACCTACTATCTACTTGCTGAGATGGCATTTCCGCAATGGTACACAATCAGCCAGCTGCTTTTCTTTGTCTCACCAAGCTCTGTGGCAGTCACCCCTCCTCCTTTTTTTCCAAGTTGCCAGGAAATGAATTACATTCTTGCTTGCAAATAAGAGCATCTGGTTAGAAGCATGGATTTCTGAAATACCGAGTACTTCCCTAAGCAATCCTACTTGGAGAGGAAATTAACGATTTCCGACAGGCAGGCCATGGGAGGAAATTCCCTGCACCCGTATATATGATAGAAGGCTCCTATGTATTATGTGGCATCCATGCTGACTTTTTGAAAACGTGTCTGTTTTACTAAACAGCTGCCTTACTTCATCTGCTATTTTATCTTATCTCTTTTCTTTCTTGAAAAAAATTTACAAAATGACTCTGACTTGAAATCGTTATATTTATGCTCATTTTCTCTTCTTTAATGTATACCATTGTTTTTCAAACTTGCCTCATCTTTGGAATCCCTAGAAGTGGGTTGAAAATGGAGGCGGACTCTTGAAATTATTCATTGCATGGAATTCTAGGTATGATTTATCAGAAGAAACCATGGAGAAAAGAGAAAGAGAAAAGTCCTCCACTTTTCTACACAATTCCATGATCTCTGTAATGTTATAATGATGAGTTTTACATCACTGTGTATGTTGGTGGTGGAGGGGACCTGTAGTTCAGTCAGTTATGTGACATATGTAATTTTCATTCCCACTTAATAAACTTGGTCTATTGCAACAACAACAAAAAAAATGGAGGCAGATACTCGTAGGTTCTTCCTCTGAAGATACTGATTCTTTAGGTCTGGGGTGGCCCCAGGAATCAGTATTTTAACAAATGCCCCAGGTGGATATTGTGATCCAGCAGATTTGGGACTCACTGGAGTATGATCAGTCTGGTGCCTTGCTCCTCCCATCAACACTGTGATGTGCAAGACAGTGTGGGGTTTTATATGAAATGCAGCAAAATAACGTTTTAAAGATATACGTATATTCAAAATTGCAGGATGTCACTATAATGTGAAATGGAAGAAATACTTATTTTGCTTTAAAACAATATCTCATGTCATCTATGCAACATTATAATTTCTATGCAAAATTCTATTTTTGCAAAGCCTCTGTTATAATTCATAACTTCTGACTCTTCCTTTACTAGTTCACCGATTACCAAAGTTATGTCATCCATGGCTGCCTAGAGAATAACCCAACCTTGGAGAGATCTATTGCTTTATTTAATGGAATCTCTAAGTGGGTCCAGTTGATGGTTCTTAGCAAACCAACACCCCAGCAGAGGGCAGAGGTCATCACAAAGTTTATCAATGTTGCAAAGGTATGTCTGGCAATCAGGACTGGAGTTCTAAAAGGATTCTAGATGTTCATTCACTCTGTAGATAAAAGTATTGAGGAAATTAGGTATTCACAATATAAGGGCATCAGACAATTAAACTATTCAATAGACGTCTAATGAACAAATCAGACTGCTCTCATTCAAGAAGATTGCTTTCAAAAAGCAATAGTTAGAAGCATTTAAGGTTGCCCTACTGTTCTGTGAAATAATTGATATATTTTTCTAATGGATTCCACTTGTGCTGCATTTTAAATTAATATTATTTTTTGATCCTTATTAAAATTATGCATGCACAGAAAGTTTAGAATAATTCCAAAATCCTTACAAAATATTTATGTTAACATTTTTATTGCAGAAGCTCCTTCAGCTCAAAAATTTTAACACCTTGATGGCGGTGGTGGGCGGCCTAAGTCATAGCTCCATTTCACGCCTCAAAGAGACCCATTCTCATCTTTCTTCAGAAGTTACAAAGGTACAGTGGATTTTATCCTAATTCCAAGTAAAAACTTCATTTGTAAATTGTTTAGGTTTAGTGTACTCTTGATAAATGCTACTTATAGTGGGAAAGTCTTCCTCTTAGACCAATGGTAGGTTACACATGGGGGCAAAGTGGAAGAGAATGTCCAAATCAGCCAAGTCCACTTGGAAAAATAGGTCAGAGGTGGTGGTAAGGGTCCCAACAAGAATGCCTTAACATATTGTTAACATGTTGTAGTTGTAAATATTCAACAAATACTTATTTAGTACTACTATGTGTTAGGTCACATCTTTCTCCCATGGAGTGGCTGGTGGGTTCCAGCTGCTGAACTTTTTGTTAGCAGCCAAGTGCTTTAACCATTGTGCAACCAGGCCTCCATATATGTATATTTAAACAAAGATCATTTCTCAAATCTAGCTTTTCTGCTATATTTATTTCCCTATTTCTTTCCATATTTCCATAAATCTTATGAAAAGATTTTTTTGTAAGAGTGTACTTGGGGGTATCAGTAAGGACACTTTTAGCTGCAAGTTAAAGAAAACTCATCTCAAAATCAATTTTAAAATAAGGAAACATATCATCTCACATACCTGGAAATCCAGAAGAAGCAGAACTCCAGGCACGGTGTGGCCAGAGCTCTGACTCAGTTGCTTTGCTTTCTTTTGAGTATCATGTTTTTGGTTTTTTTTCCCTCAGACTCACTTCCCTCCTGATTGTGCTGTTCTGCAGTAACTGGAAAATCTTATGTTCCCTTGTCCATTAAAGTTGGAGACAGGGAAATCTCCCTCTCTCCCCCTCCTCATTTCCACCCTCCCATGGAATTAATGACTTTCTTTTTAGACATATTGGGCAACTTTAGGTCACATGCCCACCTCTGGAACAACAGCAGTTGCCGTAGGAATAAATGTACTGATTGGCTAAATCTAATGTTCCTGAGCCAATCATAAACCAGAGGGATGGGATGACAATGCTGGGAAATCAGAAGGGACAAGTTCTCTCCCTGAGTCAGAGTCATAGGATTGCTTTAGGAAAGGGTAGACTGATCAAAATCAGGGTCTGTTAGGAAGGCCTGGTTGCAGTTAGACAGCCAACAATGACCTGTCCATATAAACAAGAGGAAATAAGCCATAGCAGTCCATCGTCTGAGCTCAAACACTGCACTCATTTCAAGTATAATGGGGCTTATTATGTAAGTGTTCTATTTTCTTGTAGCTTTTTACTGAATTTCAAGTAAAACACAAACAAAATTTTGAAAAGTCATGAAGAATAAGAATCCGGCAGAGGCTCATAGAGCATTGGAACAGCCAGTGTGTCTTTAACAGTTATTTATTTGAGCTCTTCTTCCTTACAGAAAAGGAAATGGAAGTGAAGAAAAGTAAAGTGACTTCATCAAGGTCACCCTTCTACACAGTGGCAGGGTCCAGAACTCCAGTTGTCTCATACCTCAGTGCAACTTTCCCCAACCCATACTGTCCCAGATTTACCTTCAAGTAATATCTTGAGTGTAATTTTCTTGGAAAAACTAAGAAACTTAAATATGATACATGCTAGAATTTCTGGACTGTAATATTTCCATGAATCACAAAATACTTAAATATACACAATGCCATTTAATATCTCAACATCCCTAGTAGGTAGACAGAGGCATAGGCAATTTTCATTTTGTAGTAGAATGGAACAGGCTGTCCATCTCACATAGCCAGGCCTAGTACGTTTTTCTTTCTTTTCCCTGGATAATATATTCCTGCAGCAAGTTTAGTGCAATGGCTACTTCTTTCAGTAGATGAGGAATTTCCTAGCCACACACTGCAGGGCTTGGAGGTGGGTGGTCCTAAGGGAAGGTGATTTGAAAGCTCTACTTTTGCGTTTGTCCCCAGAACTGGAATGAAATGACAGAGCTGGTCTCCTCCAATGGCAATTACTGCAACTATCGCAAGGCCTTTGCAGACTGTGATGGCTTCAAAATTCCCATCCTTGGAGTACACTTGAAAGACTTGATAGCAGTCCATGTCATTTTCCCAGACTGGATGGAGGAGAACAAAGTGAACATTGTGAAAATGCACCAGCTCTCTGTTACCTTGAGTGAACTGGTCTCCCTGCAGAATGCTTCTCACCACTTAGAGCCCAACATGGATCTGATCAACCTGCTCACGGTGAGTTCTGAGGGGCCAAGTTTGTAGTAATGACTCTTCTGGCTTCACATTTAGGGGAGACAGGGAGATTTCTGACAGCAATTAAACTCTGGAGGAAAATTGAATTCAGGGTCAGTAGATGAGAAGAAAGCTCAAAGGATGAGGGAAGGAGAACCTCACACCGATAAACTGCATGACCCGAGACTCAGGACTAAGAAGGTCTCCTTTGGTTCTGGAGGGGCACAGCCTCTGCGCATACAGCTTTTGCTTCTGGAGTTCTTAGAAAGGACCCTGGAAACTTGTCCTCAGCACCCCACCATCGTCTTCATCTAATTAATCATGTCATTTTATATGTCCTCAACTGACTGCTTCTCTTTATTCTGTTGCAATGATTTAGTTGAAGGTCGGAGTAATACAAGTACCTCCTCTATGATCTCTCCCACTGCCAACCTCCCAATACCTCTAGGGTGGAGTTCCGAGCCTGGTATTTGAGGCCCTTCAGAATCTGGTCTCTGACCATCAGTTAGCCTTGTTTTCCATCAACCTCTCCCACATCACACCTGCCTCTGAGGAATATCGGACGTATTGTATTTTCTACCACCAAATGCTGTCTTCTGCTTCCCGGCGTTTGCACCTTCTCTCTCCTCTTCAAAAATTCCTTTTCCACCCACCTGTGTGGGTAGCAGTGATAGTTCAGTGGCGGAATTCTCACCTTCCATGTGGGAGACTTGGGTTTGATTCCTGGCCAATGCACCTCAAGTGCAGCCACCACCAGTCTGTCAGTGAAGGCTTGCATGTTGCTACAATATTGAACAGGTTTCAGCAGAGCTTCCAGACTAAGACAGACAAGGAAGAAAGACTTCACAATCTACTTCCTAAAAATCGGTCAATGAAAACCCTGTGGATCACAATGTTCCATTGTGCATGCAGTTACCATGAGTCTGGGGCTGACTTAACAGCAGCCAACAGCAACAACAACAACATGTAGTTAGTTTAAATTCAATAACCTCTATCTTTCTGGAACATTCTTGGTTTCCCCTTCAAAACAGTAATGTATCTGTCATATGTGTTGCCCTTGCACTTTATGCATTCCTTAACTATAGGAGGTATCACTTTGCATTAGAGTTTTTCTGTTTACCCTCCTTACATACTACCCACCTAGCACCTCTCATAGTGCCTAGCATATTTAGGAGTTTAAAAGATGGATTGAATGCTGTATTCAGGAATGCCGTAGGTCAGATAGAGGAAATTCACCTACTACTCATATCTCATATTTTGGAATACCTACACATATGTAGCTGGTCTCCAGGTCCTAGCAATTTTAGATACAAGTGTGTGGAAGAGAACATTCACCAATGATTGCTTCTTTGTGGGTGGGAGAAGGGGAAGAATAACCAAATTATCCACCATTGCTTAAACAAGTGAATGCACAACTTCCTTGTTTGGGTATATAACACTGGAGCATCTGAAACTTGGTTCCTCAATACTGAATTGACTATTTTCATTTTGTGGCCATGAAAAATGAAAGCACCAACCCCTCTTAAGCCCTGAGAGCCTGTATCTTCTAGGACTGCTGCACTGGAATAAGAATGTGGTTCCTAGAGTTTCTCACAAACTCTCCTTAGAGTACATAATTGTTTACCAAAGAAGAGAACTCCTAAGAGTAGGCAATCATGCAGCTGTGCCCTTAGTGTAAAGCAGAAGTGGCCAACACACAGAAGCATGAATCTCTTGAGGATGAATTTGTGTGACAAATTGTAAACACATAGACCTTCTCTATAGGGAAAAAAAAAAAAAAAAAACACCTCGCAATAATCCAAGCACCTGCATTTATTAATCATTTGCACATGTAAATATGTTTCCATAAATAAGTGACCAGAGTTGCAGTCCAATCGGACTGCAAACCCACAGACACATGTGATGTCTGAAGACCAGTTTCAACATGGAACCTTGGTTTCCAGCATCTGTGCCCAGGCTGATGTTGAGAGTAACTTCCAGAACAGGTGCCTATACTTGGATAATTTCTCATACAGAGAACAGGTAATGATGGTGTAGGAAAATTATTTTGAGTTATAGATGTAGCAAGGAAAATAATGACAAATATTTAGAGAAGTCTTGAAGGATTTTGAATGAAATTTTGAGGTTACATATGAAAAATCTGAGATCTGGAAAAAAAGATAAGAACTAGAATGCCAGTTCAATCAAAATCTCTCTCTCTTTCTGTCTCTCTTTCCTTCTCTCCCTCCTCTCTCTCTCTTCTCTCTCATAGAAGTATTGAAGGAAAAGTTAGAAGCCATCATGCACCATGTTTAGCAAATGCAGTGTTGTATATCATAGTGCAGTGGCAAGACTCCTAGGTGGGAAAGCCTGCTTTTAGCTCTCTTTCTGCATTTACATAGCTGACTTTCCTAGCTAACCAACCTTGACTTTGGCTTTGTGGTAAGGGTTTTGTGTTCACTTCTGAAGCTTCTTCTAGCTCTAATCTTCTATGATTCTAGATATAAGGAATGGTAGAGCCCTGAGAATACGGAAACAAGTGTCAATCTGATTCTGGGGTGCCAGTCCAATAGTTCATTAGGATAGTACAGTGCCTGTATATGAGTGCACCAAACATCAAGCCAATTTCTATTTAAATCCAAGACACTTTCTCTCCCCCGACAGCCAAGGAGAAAGTTCAGCACATAAGGATATACATTCATTCTACTTGGCCATTGAGGAATGACATCTTGAGCTGTGCAAAAATAGACTGAAAGAGATAATCTCTGAAATATGAGGACTGAGGAGATTAGAGTCCAATGGCCATTTTATGAAGCACATATGTGTTTGGATTAGAACACTATGATTTGAGTGTAGCTGCCTAAATGTGTGCTTTAAGTATTCCAAGGGGCAATTCTTTTTGCCCCAAGGACTTTGTCTTAGTTTCTTAGTGATGCTGTAACAGAAATACCACAAGTGTGTGGCTTTAACGAGCATAAATTTATTTTCTCAGGACACCGGCTACAGCGAAAGGCTCTCTCTCTCTCTCTGTTGGCTCTGGGGGAAAAATCCTTGTTTCAGCTTCTCTAGCCCAGCGTTCCTTGATTTTTTGGAGATCTCTATGTGCCGTCTATCTTTCCCTCATTTGTGCTTGCTTGTCTCTGTGCCTAATCTGCTCTTCTTATATCTCAAAAATAGATTTAAGATAAACCCTACACTGATATGGCCTCATTACCATAACAAAGAAAATCTCATTTCCAAATGGGATTGCATCCACATACATAGAAGTTAGGATTCTAGCATGTATTTTGGGGGACACAGCTCAATCCATAACAAGCTCTAAGTGGGCTCCTGCCTGAAAAAATTGTTTGTTTGTAAACATGGCCCTGGAGAGGTAGCTCTATATATGATTTAGAGTCCTGGAAAATACAAAATGAGAACTCTTAAGTTAATCAACAATTATTTAATGCCTACCCTGTGCAGTAGGCAGTAAGGAAATGCTTGACTTTTCTGTAATAATTTATTAAGTTTCACAGCACTTTTGCATGCATTTTCTTGGTAGATTCTTACAAACACCTTGTGATGTAGCCTGAGCTGGGCAGCAAGTATAACATCACCCATGTTGCTTCCTAGTTTACAAAAGAAGAAACTGAGATTCATGCAGGACAAAAGGCTTGCAAGTGGCAAACTTGTGAATCCCAGCCTGGGATTTTTTCTCTCTTGGCCAGTCAGCTCAGATGGATGGTTACTCTCTAATGTGGGCATGTGGCTAATTTACTGTATTTTCCCATCTGTAAAAATTAGATGATATCTTCCTCCTTCCCTCCTACTTAAGGAGCAGCTTAACTGAAAGGTGGGCGGTTCTAACCCACCAGTGGCTCTGCAGGAGAAAACACCTGGTGATGTGCTCTTGTAAAGATTACAACCTAGAAAACCCTATGGGGGCAGTTCTAACAGGGTGGCTATGAGTCAGAATTGACTTGATGGCACTTAACAACCACAACTATATACTTAGAATGTATAAAGGAGTTAGTTACAAGACATGACTTGCCCAGTAGTACTTTGGATCCCTTAGGAAAAAAGTCATTGCTGAGAATATAATTTTGAATCCTGCCTGTCAATGTTGGCTGTCATTGATTTTCCCTACAGAATATTGCAAAGACTGAATGAGGGATTGGCTTTTCCTTACCCAGGTCACAGATATATTTTGACTTTCTAATTTAAGCTTAAGGAGATGGTTCCCTGAGACCAAGTAAGAAAGATAAGGGCTGACATTTAAAGGCCATGCCTAAGATTGACTAAAGCATCCTTTTGCTAGCCTTATTTTTAACTATGTATCTTTTAAGACCATGCTGAAGGCCCATGCAGAAATCTAAAAACAACCAATCACACAAAATATACCTACTCCTCATTTATCGACTATCTTGTTATCCAACATTTTGCATTTCCGACAATAGTAAAAAATCTACTATTAAACTATTTTGCGTACTAACACCATAAGCCTGGCAGTAACAAATGCTAAGGTGTGAGGCAAGAGTATTGCTGGCTGTGATGTGTCATGATTCTTAGTGGTTTGACAGTTATGTAATGATTTAATTTGACAGTTATGTAATGATATAATTTGGCAGTTATATAATCTGTAATATGAGTTACGTAATGATGTAATTTGGCAGTTATGTAATGATGTAGTTTTCCTCCATTTTGTGATCTAATGTGGTCATTCTCTATTTTCACATAATGCTGATTTTCACATAACTACATGATTTTTAGAACCTAACCATGTTGACAAGTGAGGAACACGTATATAATACAATATTATTCCATGAATCAATATGAATAAATTATAAAAATGCAGTTAATGAAATGCCCTTCCTTCCAAAAAAATACAAGAGATTTAGATTATATTTCAATAGCATAAGGTTTTAATTTCATTTAACATTATATAAATACCACTAATAATAACAACAAAAGTAATAGTAACATCCAGAGGCACCTTGGAAGAAAGGCCTGCTGATCTGCTTCCAAAAAATCAGTCATTGAAAACC